AAAATCATATTCGACGGTTTACATTACTCTTGCCACTAAATTTTGAAAAAGAATTTCTACACTCCGGCGAATAGAAAAAATGCGGCGCTAAGGTTCAGAAATCTGATGATTCTGTGCCGGACTCTTTCTGGTATGACTTAATTTTTCTGGATGGCAAAAACATGGTACCGGCACATAAGGCCGAACCCCACATGACCGCACCGAGTGACGGATGTCTGTCTGGCATCAAACGGAGAGCGATTAGGGCAATGAAAGTGAGCCGGCTAGTCACCACATGTCCGCTCCGACTCCACACAACACACCGCACGTGACCCGCACCGTGCCCGACTAGTTTGGTTTAGTTTGACGTATCGTGTGAGGTGCAGTGGAGAGTTTGTTTTTTAATATATATTTTTAAAATATTTCGTTTATCTATTCTCGTTCGCCTTTTTTATAATCTTAGTACAATTTTATTCCAAAGAAACTAATTGAGGAGGAAAGAAAAGCAAGTTGTATGACCAGACCAATGAAAAATACAGAAATACGGAATATAAAGGCAGAAGAATTTAATTAATTAACAATCGAATAAATTTATTCCATTTCAACACATCTTTTTCCTCTGATTGTGAACCCACATTCTTCTCCTTCTGCGATGATTTTTTCGCCAATTAACATGTTCTTCCTGTAAAGCAAGTGCTATCAACCCATATTCACTATTTTTAAAGCTTCCTAACATTTTTTCTCAAAGAAGCGATGTAAGCTTCGAACGACGTAGCTTTGAAGCTATTGAACATTTGTCCAACATGTTACCGACAAGGGGTTCTCCGTCACCGTCACCGCAAGTCGGTCGACTGTTGGACGTCACGCAGAGCGGGCCCGGTGCGGTCATGTGGGGTCCAGGCTTTAAGGAAGAGTTCAAGCCCCAAAATGTTCGAGGAACTATCTGTCAGGGGGGCTGCACTGTTATGGTATGTGTATGTCGTAGAATGGACCGGAAACATGGTATTTATCGACGGAATTAAGGACAGTTACAAATATATAGATGTATGTACTAAGACTTAATTTATTATCATGTGCTACGAAATTGGTAATGAACAGGGCATTTAAATTTTATAAAGATCCTACATATAGAGCGCTTCGGATTCAGGAATGGTTTCGGTATAATTGTCCTAAAATGTTAGACCCCAACGATCACCAGATCTCAATCCCATTGACAATTTATGGGTAATAGTTGATAGGAACTAAGAAACGAGCAGATCAAAAATATTCATATTGTAACATTAAAAGTCCAACAATCTTGGATTAGTATTTTTTCCAAACAACTTCGAAATTTGTTGGTTCAATGGGGTCTCATTTAACCAATTAATTAAAATCAAAGGAAACTAGTGTTTAACATTTATTGTTTAATGTATGTTAGTTTCATGATTTCTGATTACTTTTGTGACCCATAAATTCAGATTATCAACTGCCAAGGCTACTAATTGACATAATTGTATATTATTTTTCATTAATTTTGAAAAATTGGTTTTTCTTGTGTTACACTTATTTAGGTGTTATATATAAGGATATGTAAGGGTTGAACGGACAATGTGTAGCACAGGCGATCAAAATTTCATGGCTTGTATGTTTTAGCTTTGTTCTTACTAATTCCTGACATTTAATATTCAATATCGGCATATAACGAAAATCAGTTGTTTCATTATCTGATAAAAACTGTGAAAACTCAGGTTAATCATCTGTTAAAGTGTAAATCGATAATTATATTGAACATGCATGTTTTATACCTGTTTATTGCAGAGCTGTTTTTTAAAAATACTCATCAATAAAATAAAAATAAATAATGAATATTTGAAATTGTTAGAATACGCAGTAGTTGCGGCTGCCACAAAAGCCGAAGAAAAGGGTTCACATTTTGGCCGATTATGGAGGTAGCATAACCACCCTCATTTCAAAATGAATGGAATGACCGTCGAGTGGGAAGATAAAATATTTCGGCCATATCTTTGATTCTAAGCTTAGGTATCAAAGCGTGGTCTCCCGGTCTTTAGCCCGATTCCGAGATACGGGAAGTGCCAATAGGAGGCCTGGTAGTGAATCTCATCTCATTACGACACTAAGGGAGAACAGAAATATTGTTATTGCTACAAGCCGAAACTCTTTCCATAGTGCCCGCCAGATCCAAAGAGAAGTACAAAATGTGTTGGGAAGGCCATTATCAACACAAACGATTTGTAATAAGTTGGCCTCACGTCATATGCCATTTTGAGACTACCCGCAGCAACTCAGGATAATATGGTGCAGCGAGCGCCGAGAAGAGAACACCAATTGGAATGCTGTTATTTTTACTGGTGAATCGTGTTTCTGTCTGTATAGTGGTAGAAGGCGACGAAAAATCTAGCGAGAACAGGGGATGCGTACAATGCCCCATTTCGTGCTCCCTTCAGTGCAGTATGGAGGAGGCGGTGTAATGATCTGGGCTGGGATTTACACTGGTTGACGAACTGGACTCTATATGTAGAAACGCAGTCCGTTATGTCTAACAAATTATCGAGGAATACATACCTCAAACCAGAGATCTCATTGGGAAGGATTTTTGATTTCTTGTTGACAATGCCACACATCTATAGGTAGAGTTGTTTATCATGTTTATGTTTAGAAAACCTAGGAATTGCCTATCTGCCGTTTCTCCCATTGTCTCCACAACTCAATCCTACCGAGCAAATGAGGGATGTTGCAGAGAAGGCTTTGCGATCACCATCCGCAGACAGTTTACCTGCAACAACTGAGTGTAGCGTTGCAACATTTATGAAGTGAAATTCCTTATGAAAACCTTATTAACAGTATGCCTAACAGGTGCTCAAAGGTTTTAACTAACAGAGGACATTATACACTGTATGAATTATTCAAACAAATTATTGTGTCCTATAAACCAAATTATGGAATTAAAACCTTTTATTTTATTATTTCGGAATCCCACAATTAAATTTTCCTTCAGAAAAAATATAATAATTTCTAATAAATTTTAATGATATTTATAATAAAAATAAAATAAAAATGCTAAGAAAAGGAAATAATACAAAATTGGCATTATCGCTATTCATTTTTGAGCAGTTTAGGATAAGATTTTTCTGTGAGTGTTTTGTGTCTTGATTTAATGTATTTATTAGCGTGTGTTGAGTTTGTGTGGGTGGGGCGTAGCATAATATTGAGTACCCCACAGACCAACTAAACTTGGTTAGCTTTAGGTTAGGTCTTTTTGGAGTGAAAGAGGCGATATTTTAATACCTCAATTGGTCCCCAATTTTTAGCTGAATATATGATATGAAAGGTAATTAATGATAATTAAGGTAATTAAGATAATCAGTATGATTGTATTTATTAGCGTGAATAAGGAAAGGCCTTCAGCGTAATATCGAGTACCCTGAAACCCGCCAAACTAAGCTTAGGCTAAGTATGAATGTTTAGGTATGCATCAGTTGTAGAGACTTTTCACCATGTGTGAAGGGGTAAATGTGAGTAGAAATCAAGCCCAGAAGTTCCATACGAAAAATCGCGTATCTTAGTACAGGAGAGCCAATTATTTTCGTCCTCAAAATACAAAAAACGCGAAATGCTGCCATAGCCCTGATAGCTAGGTGGCCGGAAAACAAAATCAATAGAAATAAAGCTACAATTCGCTAAATATTTTATTATCGCGTGATCAATAAAAATACATATAAATTAAATTTTTTAAATAAACATTCATTGTTCATACCGCGTAGCCCGGTTTTATTAAGTTTTTTTTTTTCAATTATGCACGTAATTCCAATTTGCGAGGAAAAGAAAAGGTACATAAAAAGGTCGAACGGAAAAAGCCCACATTTGGAAAAGCAGAAATAAGAAAATTCCTGGCATTCCATGATGTTATGTGGTAGAAATACCGGAATCTTTACGTCTTGTGCTTAGAATGAAGAAAATAGCTGAAAAGGATTATTCTCAGTTGTCCGCAACATTTTGTATTTTATCGTATTTTACATTTTTCCTACTTCAGATAGATAGGAATGTTCATAGGTAGATGGATAGATAGATAGATAGATAGAGAGATAGATAGATAGATAGATAGAGAGAGAGAGAGAGAGAGAGAGAGAGAGAGAGAGAGAGGGAGAGTGTGAGAGAGAAGAAGAAAGAGAACATATTCTTCGTTTTAGTCTAGGAAACGTAATTATAGACGAACAATTATCTTACAATATAGTGGTAGAGAGAACATCCTCTCTTATCTACTAAATCATTTAATTGAATTATTTCTTTGCCTTAAAATATCTTGAGAAAATGAAAAAAGTTAGAGAAAAATAATAAAATAAAAATCGTCAAGAAAATAAATAATAAATCGTCAGGAACGTTAGAGAAAGAAAAGTAGTGTGTAAGAAGAAGTGGAGTTAAGAAAAAATAAGGGTGAAAAAATGAGCCCAAAGAAAGAAATGGAGGTAAAAGATCGAATGAAAACGGATAATTGAGAGGGTGAAGAGAGAGATGGAAAGAGAAACAGCTCAGAAAAACAATTTCGACCGTAACAGTGTTAAATTTGAATTGATACACCATTTTCATTTGAATTTACTCAAAATCAACCAATTTTATTTATTAAAACTTTTGATCCTGCAAATTTTCAATTACAGTGAAAAAATTCAAAAAGACATCATATCAAAATATAAAAGGATTTTTATAATACTTTTATACTACATTTTACAACATTTCTCAATGTTAATATTACTCTGACGGGATTAAACTGTTTGAATTTTAGGCAATGACGTCCTTAACTACGACCCAAATTTTATGGGGATACAATTCTCTCCAAGGTTTCTAAACAAGCTTAGAAAACTGATGAGTAAAATGCATCCACCACTGTTGCTGTGGGTGTAGAACCCGTGTTAAGAAGTGATGATCAAATTCTTCACACTGGAAATTCATTGCAAATACATAGATTTCATGTTAATTATCTGGCAATTGCCAATAAGTAGATTATATGGCAAAGCAATTAAACCTTGTAATGTATCATAAATTATATTTTTACATTTAATGTACTTTTTACACAGGAGAAAGTGTTACGTTTGGGGGTCTTCAGTTGATGTTAAACTATTAGCATTCCTCTCCACCTCTAAGCTGAACTTGTGCTTTGACCTTTCCCCTCCGGCCCCGGAGATGGATGTTATTATTATTTTTTTATTGTTTGCAATCATTTGGTTCATTTTCTCCAGCAACTCTTTCGTTCTCCGGTCTAAATTTGTCTTGAAATGCTCCTCCTCGGCGAGTATCTCCTCTTTTGTCTTCGTCCTTATTGGCACACTTTCAACTTCATCGGATTTATTTGGAGCACATTCGCCTACAAAATTATTGAAGATGTTAAAACTTTCAACAGGTTAATGCCGGTTCTACTCAGAAAGTAAAAAAAAAAACTCTTTTGTGAGTAGAACAATCTTTTTCAAGTGTTGAATGGTAAAATTTCCTTTTGTGATCTGCAGGGTGATGAATCTAGAATTTTATAGGTACCTATCATCTTGATATGCTCTTCATAGCTGAGAATATGTAAGACGCGTTTCGGCATTTCGACCTACTAACCGAATCCTGACACCACAAAAATCACACAACAAAAAATGCTGAAACACGTATGACAGACAAAATCAGTGAGGATAGGCCCTATCAAGATGATAGGTAGCTATCAAACGATATCAAATTATATCTATTGAATTAATAAACTCATACCATCGTTGTCTTTTTCATCGTTAAAAGGTCAAAAATAAATGCAATTTACTTACGAAAATACTTCTTTCAAAATTTTTAGAGGTATTTTATCTCTCAAACCATCATTAAATTGAAATAATTTGGTACTGAATAATTGAAGTTGCAATAAAGCTAGAAGGCGAAAAAAATTGAAGATTCATCAGTGGCAGAAGTTGTAAAGCCTCAATAATACTTAAACTTTTATTGTTTATTGCACATTGTTTGTTTGATTACTTTGAATTGTGTAAACCAAAGTAAAGTCTACTACCATTTTGGAAAAATTTTAGGAAAGCTCCTATTGAAAAGAATTCTCCCAATTCTAAATTCTCAAAATATAATCCTTCCAAACCAGATGGTTTGGTTTAATTTCACTCTTCTGTCAAACAGAGCAATCGCGCTATATATAATATATAACATAAAACATATAACAACATATAACGTATAACAACATATAACATAAACATATGTTTTAATACAGAACTCAAGCACGACTTCTTGACGAACTTTCTAATTTACCTATCTAAAATGAAACGCTGCTTAACATCTCCCTATTTATGCCGATATGAACTTAAGGACGGGTAGTCTGCGGTTCAACCAAATATTCCAACATCTGTCGCACTCAATCTGCCCAATCCTACGAAAAATACTAGATGAACCATTTTATTTATCGAACCTAACAACATATACAGACTTAAAAATTCCTATCGTTCAAGACGAAACCCATTCTCCTCACTGCAAATATCACAAAACCCTCCCAACCATCGTAAATCAGCACGTCAGAAACCTCGTATCTCTACGGATTCCCTCGAACCTTCTTCGTCGACGGAAAAGACAATAGCCGCGAGATCTCCTAGATGGTGGTGATGGTGATGTTACATTTCGGTATTATTGGAGTAATACCAATCGGTATTTTCTCCACTCTTGTTTTTCATTTTGTACATATTTCATTGCTCTTTGTTTACACGTTGCCTACTTGAAGGTAGTTGTATTGCACTGTCACCCGTTCTCAGGATGTTTATCTGTGGGTGAGGAAACAGAAACGGATACAAAAAGAAAAAAATTAACGAAAACCCAAAAAACCTTAAATCAAATAAATATTCTCACAACTTTACAAGAGTGTCCGAATAAACCCTATACCAATATTATCTAAACAAATATTTTTTTCGACGGATTCTCCCTCTTTCTCACTTTAAAGATACAACCTTTAAGACGGCCTGAGCGCCCCTGCCTTCGTTCGCCCAATCCTTCAGAGTACCTATCGGTTGGCATACTGCAAATACATGCTATCAAAGCGTGTGCTATACAAAATCATAAAAGAGGTTACACTGACAAAAATGTACAAAACATCAGACAACCAAGCCGCCATAAAAGCATTACCACTTGAAAAAGGCAACATCCAAAGCATTCATTGAATGCATCAAAAGTTTCCAAAACGTGAGAAAATACAACAACCTAACAATATCCTGGGTGTATATCCATAAGAGGAATCTGCTAATTGAACAAACAAACAGACAAAACTGGGCAGAGGAGGATGTATACTCCTAGATCGTATATATTCTTGGGATTATAAAGGCAAACGAGTGCGTAGTGGCCCCAACGTTTATTGCTGTAATCTAGCGACCCTGAAATCGAACCCAACATTCATACCCGACCGCATCTCACGATATCTGAATACTATCGATTAACGGTCACTAATCTCTACACATTCATACCAATGGGCAGAGGTGGCAGACACAGTAAACTTATTATTAAAGAACCCTCAACAAAACTTATTTGGGGTCGACCAGCCTTTAATACCTATTAGGAAAGTAAACAAACCGGACGAAAATGAGGTGAAAACCTTGTATACAAGAGGAGACCGTAAAAGGAGAAACGTCTTTTATTTTGTTCAGTGCAAGGAGTTAGGCAGTCATAGCTAGAATAAGCCGGGGCTGAAGATGGGCTCTACGCAGCATAATTTTTTTAGTCTCATAGCGTGTATATATGCAAATAAAATAAATTAATACTTTAATAATCTTTCAATTGAATTATTTCAACTTTTAATCTTAATAAATTTTTAATTATTTTAATGCAAGATTGATGATTCGTCATAAATGTTGCTAAACAATTTGAAATAATTTCTTTTAAAATATTACAATCAATACTTTATTGTTCTCTATTAACATTAAAAAACTACTAACATATTAACAGATGTAAAAAAATTGTTTTTTTTTAATTTATCAACCCTGAACATTTCTGAAACAACCACCCGCATAAAACATTTTTCTTAAATGTGTATTTTATATGTATGAATAAATTCACTAATTTATCTCAGCAAGCTGTTTGTCGCTATTCTCAAGAGGAGAAATGCGGTAAGGTGACACCAAAGTTACCGCACCGTGGACTTTAATATTGTTAAACAACCGTAGACCACTTATCACCGAAGCGACCTCGGCCACTCATTAATTCCTATTGCAAAAATGTTTCCGACATTGGTCCGTTTTCACGAAGAATAACCTGGTTATCAATTAAGAAGAAGCTGATAAAATAATTAAAAATTTAGTATTAATTATTCAGAAAACGTTATGCGGTCTGGTGTGAAATTATGGTGTGATGTCGCATCTCACGATTTCTGAATAATTATCGATTAACAGTCACTAATCACCACACTTTAGTATTAATCTAGAATCACACCTGTGAACAGTGTGATTCAACACATACAGTCCCGCTAATGTGCTAATGTAGAACAATCGTGCATAAAAAGTGTTTCTATATGAAGCTGCAATTTGCTTACAATTGGAATAAAATCGGGGAGTCGAAATGATAAGTTTATGGTATTGGCGATCGAAGTCACGGTAGCTCAAGTGGTAGAGCAGTGGCGTATTTAGCCGAAAGTCGTGGGTTCGAATCCCGCCTGTGACACAAATTTTTCATTTCGAAAAAATTGTGTATAATTAATTGGGTATTTATAATATAATTAAGTAAAAGATGATAAAATATTTTAAAAATTTGTAATAACCTGGTTATTTGTTCTTGAAAACCTCAGAAAAATAGCTTTACAAAGGACTTACAGCCAATTGTGAAAACCAGCAGGAAGATCGCTACTGCATATGTCGGAAGTATTTTCATTTTGACCATTTTCCACCTGTTAGTAATTTTTCTGGGCACTTTTCACAACCGGAGGCTCGCGAGGAAAGAAGCGATTTAACCCTTCCCACTGCGTCGTCGAACTTGGTAAGAAAAATGGGAGAAACTGCAAATTGAGCGTTTTTCGTGATGAACAAGCTGTTAATTCGAACTATAAACGTTACTTATTGTCACAAAACAGGTTTTCTTTCTATGTTTCAAGGACCGTTACTATAAACCAATTATTTCCTTCTAGATCAATTATTAAGGTGTGAAAATCAATTACATAGATGATCCAATTATCAACGGATTTTCCAGAGTAAATTTTCATTTTTATTCCTTCAACTAATAAATTTTATTTATAAATATCATTTAAACTGCCAAGGTCTTCCGGTACCTAAAGACGCCGGCTCCTAATGACTTACTTTATTATGACTAAGCGCTGCTTTATACTGCTTTTACCACTTCTGGTTCTATCAAATTTTATTCATTCTCTTTCACTGCGTAATATGCTTAAAGTCGTAAGTTCATAAACATATAAAAAATTTATGAAGAGAATAAATAACAAATAAACAACGTTAAAACAAATCGTTTGTATTTGTTAAGGTTTTTGTTCCATTCTGACAATCTGAAAAAAACCAAGATAGAAAGGTTTTTTGACAAAATGTATCTCAAAATCTTTTAAACAGTGTTAGTGTTATACGTATAAAGATACAACTACAAATTTATTTCCGACCACATCTCTGATCCCTAAAGTAATTGTCAATATGCAATAAAAATATAACTTAAAGCAATGTGCTACAATTAAAGTCTTTTAATATAAAACGTGAATATTGAACTCAAAGATCAAATATTTGTTCGATTAAATCAGATTTTTGAACAAAACTGACTCATTTTGTAACAAGAAATATTTATGTTACCAAAAATTGAAAATAATTTATATTGACATCACAATTAATTAGTTGCTAAAGTTCTGAGTATTTATTTAATTGTAGCATTATTAGATTTTTAATCAACGGCCATTCAGAATACAAATAAAGTAGTTATGAAAATGCTGTGAACACTAAATGAAAGTTCGAAGTAAATTTTATGTGATGTACTGAAAAAACAAAAATACTTATTTAACAATTTTTTAGTATAGTTATTCAGATATCGTGAGATGCGGTCGGGTGTGATGTAGGTTTCAGAAAAACATTTTCTTTATCGTGCCAACGTTTCGATCTTTTATTGACATCATCTTCAGGGCCTGGGATTTACAAACAATGTTTACATTTAACAATTACATTTAGGATGTGGAT